AACAAAATGCACCAAACACGCATTAACATTTTGATAAAATACATAAATAATTTAGTAACATATGGCGAAGTCTACAACTATCAGATTTTGTAATTCATGTACAAATCCTGTTTTGTCTGACCTCTTTAATCTTTGCATAGAAAACATAAAGTATTGCATATGCTGCCAAAACACTAAAGCATCATTTATAACGTCAGCTTGCTGTGACATGACTGATGCGCTTGGAAAAGATTAAATTACCCATGCTGATTTACAGTTATATACTTTATGTGAAGAGTTTGCAGCCTCAGAGTCCTCTCACAGTACAAACAAATGTGTGTCAGTGTATTTGTTGATCCTAACTGGGCTGTAGGTGTGTGTGTGGCTTTTTGTGTTAGATGTTCACCCTATTACTACAGGAGTACATTCTAGAAACAAACAATCCAAAACAAATATTAAGTATTTACTCCATAGCAGACAGTGAAGTACAACAACATGTTTGGCAAGTAGATTCTAATATAGAAGGGTGGAAATTCAGCAATGGCAGAAAATAGCACAATACCTATGGGCCTCGATGCTGGTGGAATAATAACACAGCTGGAGTCTTGGATGAGCAACAATGATAAAGTGGACATGGCTGAGGGGGAATTCGAAAGGTAAAATGACAGAAACACACTGTGATTTAAAGCACATTGAATAGAGAGGAAGTGAGAAAAAGAAAAGAGTTGCAGTCCAAAAGCCCAGAAATCCAGACAGATGACTTCATTATTGAACTTCATGTTATCATCATATGATAATTAGCTTTAGTTGACTTCAATTGATTAAGGTGGATATTTTTCTTTTGTTAATCATAATGCTGTCTTGTGTTGATGGTTGAGACTGTTTCTCATTGTCAAATCTTTCTTCAAAGAGAAACTATAAGCTAAATGAGATGATTTATTTAAATAAAGATTTCACATAGTTGTATTTGTAATTCGTAACTTTGCTAACTATTTCCAACTGTCGTTTTCCTTTTTTCTCCAGGTAAACCATTTGACCCCCAATTTGTGTTAAGCAGCACCATTTCTAATGTGATCTGCTGCCTGGTTTTTGGGGAACGCTTCAGTTTTGAAGACAAGCAGTTCCTGCACCTTCTGACCATCATGCCTAAGGTCACAAGGTTTAACAGTAGTCCTCTTGGTCAGGTCAGTGGGCATAATAAAAAAAAAAAGACAAACATACTGATTGAATAGTTCTGCATTATTACCTCCAAACCAACAAACCTGAAGTGTGTTGTCCAAAAAATTGATACACAATAAAATTTATTGCATGTTTCCACACGTCTTTAGACAAATAAAGCTGTTTGTACAACATCTTTCCCTGGATCATGGACCATCTTCCTGGCTACCACCAAACTATTTTTGGACATGTAAAGGAGGCCAGAGATTTTATCAAGAGGGAAATCCAAGAGCACAAAGAGACCCTGGACCCCAGCTCCCCCAGAGGCTTCACTGACTGCTTCCTCATCAGAATTAATCAGGTTGGAAAGAACTGAAGGATCAGTTGCTTTGTTAAGGGCACTTAGGACTTTTTCAGTAGAGATGATGCATTCAAATATGTATTATTTATTCAAACTATATTTCAAGTGGGTCTGTTGCCTGCTGCTGAAAAGGCATTTAGTTGTTTTTTTTGTAATTTCTTTTGAGACAAAAATATTCCTAATTTGTCTCCTTAGGAAAAGGACAATCCCTCAAGTGAGTTCAACTACGACAACTTGGTTTCTACTGTATTGAATCTGTTTGTTGCTGGAACAGAGACCACCAGCTACACCCTGAGCTCTCACTGTGCTGATTAAACACCCCAAAATACAGGGTAGGAATACACAAAAAATATTACCAACTTGTAGTGTTGGGAAGGTTACTTTTAAAATATATTCCACTACAGATTACAGAATACATGCCCCAAAATGTATTTTGTAACATATTCCGTTACGTTACTCAATGAGAGTAACGTATTCTGAATACTGTCAGTGCGCCCCAGGGTGGCTGTGGCTACAATGTAGCTTGCCATCACCAGTGTGCGAATGTGTGTGTGAATGGGTGGATGACTGGTTGTGTAAAGCGCTTTGGGGTCCTCATATGTGGATCTCCTTTTTCTCAGAAACAAAAATCATGTAAAAAAAATAAAAAAAAAATAAAATAAAATCTGGAAATTCTTTGTTTTTACATTCATCAGGTCCCAATCTGCCCAAATAGGAAAGAGAAATTAAAAACGCATGCCATGAAAGAGTTTGGGTCTTAGGAGGTTAATATAAGGTGGACATTAGGCAAGGCTGCACTTTCTGCAGCAATCTCATATAGAAAACTATTCCACGTGTATATAAAACAGGTCCACGGCTCCGAACTGTAGTAAAGGGACCTCTGGCTAATACGTCGGGTTCTGTGTCGGGCTCGTAGCCGAAAACTAGCTTTACTTTGTTGTCGATTAAGGCGAAACTCGGGCCGATCCCCAAAATGGTCAAACCTTCATTTCTGGTCTTCACCATGAAGACATTTTTCATTGTCATTGTCATCATGCTGCTGAAGCACCATGTCTGCAGTCTGCAGTTAACTTGTAATATGTAACTGTGTTATATCAATAATTACTTATTATTTGCTTAATAACAAGACTTTAATCAAAAAAAGTGAGTATTGTAGAAGCTTAATTCACAAAGCTTCTACAATACCTGTCATCTATTCTTCCATTTAAAGGTGCATTTCATGATCCAGTTGATACTTAACATTAGATATTAGATAAATATAACCCTTCAACTAGATGAACTGCAAACTGCTCAAATTAGACTCTTTCAGTCCCCTGGCTAACCACGTGACTTTAAAAAAATAATAATTTTGGACCATCTGACAAAGTAAGATAGGGAACAACAAAAGACACACTTAACAATTACAAAACTCTCATTTAACATAACATGGCAGAAACCTGACAATGGGAGACAGACAGGGAGAGGAACCAAAATCACAAAGGCCGAACAAAAATAAAAATTCAAAACACAACACCACAAAACTTGAGGAGAAAGATAAAGTGAGTATTTTGAATTTTGGCTTTATTTTGAGTGTCAAAGCAGTGTTACCAATTTGTCCTCTCAGGACATTATGACAGCTTGCTGTCTGCAAAGCCGGATCTTGGCTGGAAGAGAATCCACCAGTTCTAGCCTACAAAACAAGACAGTTCTAAGGAAGAAACAACTTTGGCATAGCTGAATAACTTTTAACTTTTCTGTTACGGTCATCAAAGAATTAAATATGTAACTTCTATGTTATCTAAATAAATCCATAATTGTGCAACACTGCAGTGACACTGCTTATGTATAAACACAACGTCCTCTACCACTTCCATAGAAGATATTTGTTCCAAAGGTTAATTCTTGGAGTAATGCTACTTGTTTGTATGGTTGTATGTTTGAACATACTATTAAACCCAGTAGAAATATTGTTAACCTGAACCCATATTATTCTTGCTCACTCTTGGCTTAAAAATACTGATAACCATAGCTTCATAGCAGACCTTGATTGAACATTCAGTAACTGATTCAAAAATTAAAAAAACAGGAAAAAAATATTGACAGATATCAATGACATCACTTGTATAAAGAAGAAAAAAGGATTTAAACTACTTGACCCTGTTCTTCCATTTATTTACTACAACTGTAATACTTAACTTTTGATGTACAAACTAAACCTGATAGAACTGGCTTCAGGTACAAACTACAAACCGCAGTCAGTCTAGATTCCTTTATTATGTGTTTTTGTAAATGGCCTGTATTTGTATAGCGCTTCACATAGTCCCTAAGAACCCCAAAGCACTTTACACGTTCAGTCATCCACACATTCACACACTGGTGATGGCAGCTACATTGTAGCCACAGCTGCCCTGGGGCGCACTGACAGAGGCGAGGCTGCCGGACACTGGCGCCACCGGGCCCTCTGACCACCACCAGTAGGCAACGGGTGAAGTGTCTTGCCCAAGGACACAACGACTGAGACTGTCCGAGCTGGGGCTCGAACTGGCAACCTTCTGATTACAAGACGACCTGCCAACTCTTGAGCCAAGGTCGCCCACGATTTTTAATGGAATCTTGTTTCTTGTTCTATTGTTTTTGTCTGCTGAATGTGTTCCTGTGAATGTTCTTGCTCTTGTGCATTTCCTTGTGAGAGGAAATTGTAATTTAAATAAGACAGCTCATGTATATAAATATTTAATACCACAAATTATATTTTCTTGCTGCCTCTTTGCTGATGCTCCACTCAATTTAATATGACTGGAAGTACTATGTCTAACAAAGAGGTGTTTGTTGTTAGCTCAATTATACGGTAAAGCGCTGACTTTTCATATGTCAACTGGGCCCATTTTTGTTGTTTACATTTTTTCACATTTCTTAATTATTCAATGAAAATGCTAACTCGTATTTTTACTAGTCTAAAAACAAAATTATTTTTTAAACACAAACCACAAAGTATTTAATACTTGTACTGAAACTCATTATTTGATCATTTGATTACGTCTGTATTTATTAATGTAACTTGTTCTTTTTTCTGTTTGTTTAACCTTTTCAAATAAACCCAGATGATATGACAGATTGGAGGCTAAACAAAAAGGTGCTTCGTACTATGGAATAATGCAAATGTTGCTGCCACTGTCTCTAAGACAAAGGTTATTCTTTGCAGTACAGTGGCATTTTCTGCAGAGCTGATTTCCTTTGCTCTCATGTGGGTGTTTAGTAACATAAGCATAAAAAAAGGGGTTTTCCTTCAGGACTTACTGTTCTCACACCAATCTGAAATTAAACATGTAACCGACAGATTCAAGTATGACTACAAGGCTCAGCATATTGCTCAACAGCATTCCGCAGCACAGCGTGAAATCCAGGCAAAAGGTTGACCAGCGCCTGACAAGCAGCGTAAATGGCTGCATTTCAATTAGTTCTCTTTTGATCTCTCAGCCATTTCAACTCCAGGGAACAGCAAGAGTTTCTGTCCTGGAAAATCATGGAGTTTTCTGGCACGTTGATTTTAATAGGGGCTGTCTTGACGTTACTGTAGCTTTTCAGCATCAAGAGTCATAGGCAACTTGCCTTACCTCTCGGACCCTCTGCCCTGCCTGTCATCGGAAATGTGCTACAAATGGACAAAAGGGCCCCATTCAAAACTATGCTAAAGGTGACTGAATTACTTCTTAACACATAAACCCCCACATAATGTTTAACACAATGTTCTGACTGTTTTGATTGCAGTGTGTATGTGCATGTTTTTGTGCATTCTTATGGAAAAACCACTAAGCTGATTGTTATTTTTATTGTGTAAGACAGCATTATAGTATACCAGTAAACCATTATTTATTTATTTACAGACATCAGCCTCAACTGATTGTCAAAATATTTCATTGCTTGTGGCATAGGATTATGCTTTGGTGTTAAAGATCCCAGGGATTGGTATGTCTGTATAAGCTCACTCATTTTTCCATTTAACCCTTCAGCTCAGTGATAAATATGGCTCGGTGATTACGATGTATCTGGGCCCCCAACGCACAGTGATTTTGTTGGGGTATGATGCTGTGAAGGAGGCGCTGCTGGACCAAGCAGATGACTTCTCTGGCCGAGGACCTATCCCGTTACTTTTCAAAGCTTCCAAAGGCTACGGTAATATAGAGGATTTAATGTTACAATGTGTCTTTTTTGTGAAGGTCATGTTTATGAAACTATGCGTTACTTCTACCTTTCAAAAGGTTTGGGTGTTAGCAATGGAGAGTGTTGGCAACAGCTACGAAGGTTTATCCTGACAACTTTGAGAGACTTTGGGATGGGATGTAAAGGAATGGAAGAGTGGATCCAGGAGGAGAGCAGTCATCTGGTGGGCTGCATTAAAAAGATGAATGGTTGGTATAGAATATGGAAAGGTGACTGTGCTTGTTTTGTGTGTTCAGTTTGTCATATACAGAGTTATAAACAAATATTCACACATTCAAAATAAACTAAACTAAATGATGTTGTACATTTGAGCTTTTGCACCATGTCCATTGTGACTTGCTGTTTGTTTTTTGACCAACACTAAGTGATTTGCAGTCACAAATCATATGATTATCAAGTTGTAAATAAATCAAAAGTTGCTCCAGAAACACCGTAATTTTTGGATCTGTTTTTGTACACATATAAGTAAATGTTGCCTATTTTACATCATCCTAAAAGCTCTCAGGTAAAACAGTGTCATATATTTTGATGCGATTTTGACTGCTGGTAAGCCCAATTCCCAGTAAATATCAGTAAATTTTAAAGTTCACAGTTTCTCATGGCTGTTGTACGTGTCAGTTGTCATGATGCTCTTTAGTTTTCTGCTGGATTACTGAGTAACAAAAGACAATTTCCTATCATCTGCAGGCGTTTTCTTACACAGGGACTTTTTGTAATGTCTCTGTTAGAATACTGATACTACAATTTTAATCTTTGCATGCCCTACTGCTTCAAATAAAATACACAATTAGTTATTAACATTTAAAAATGTACCTTAAACTTAAAAAAAGCATTTAACACAAATAAACATATATTTTTGATTGAGTGTCGTTGTTGCAACTGTTTTAAGTATTCATATAATTCTTGATAATAATAAAACAGGACTATAATGAAAATTGTTGACTCCTGACTAGTGTCCGTTTGTTGTTTCATGGGTGACATTGATGAATGTCGTTCTTTCTTTTCTTTTTTTAGCTAAACCCTTTGATCCAACCTTCTTCCTGAGCTGCACCGTGTCCAATGTTATCTGCTGTTTGGTGTTTGGCCAGCGCTTCAGTTATGATGATAAACACTTCCTATACCTTCTGCAGATCATCTCAGACACCTTGAAATTTGGCAGCAGTTCTCAGGGCCAGGTAAAAGCTAAAGTAACAATAACATGAAACTGGCATGGCGGGTGAGTGATTCAATTAAAAACCAAATGTGCCCAAATAATAGCTAGAGTTCAGCAACATTGCAACACAGCAATCGAGTCTTTTTTTTTTTCTCTCATCACAGCTCTATAATATCTTCCCACGGTTGATGGAGTGGTTGCCCGGTTCACATCACAATGTGTTTGCCAAACTTGAGGAGATGAGAGCATTTATTATGAATAAAATCCAAGAACGTCAGGACACACTGGACGCAAGTTCACCCAGAGATTACATTGACTGCTTCCTCCTAAGACTCAATAAGGTGTGACAGAACTACATTTAATAACCAGACTAAATCTTTGTGAATTACCTCACTTAGGCTTCTTTTATTTACTGCTGATAATTGCTCTTTTACAAATGTGCATGCCCCCTATTATAAGACAATTCCCTTGCATTGGTATTCCCCTGCAAGTGCATTTTAAAGTCTTTAATTTTAATCTTAGGTTGTATTGTTAAACTGATAAAATTGTTTTTACTTTCTGGAAAAGCACATTCCTACAAGCCAGTTCCACTATGACAACTTGGTGTCAACAGTGTTGAATCTTTATCTGGCAGGAACTGAAACCACCAGTTCAACTATCAGATATGCATTAAATGTTCTGATCAAATACCCCCAAATACAAGGTAGAAACAGAAAGCAAATGAAATTCTGCACACTTGCTCTGATGATTTTCTTCTCTTAAAAATAAATAAAACTTCAGACTGAATGACATTATAATTGGTAATTCGTGTTAATTGTTCACTCCAAAATTCTTTGTAAAGCAGCACTAAAATATTTGAAAGTCTTTATTTAATCTTATTTTTTGCTGATTTGCTACTGACTTTAGAGCTTTCTCCACTAATTATGTTGCAATTTTCTTCTCATTCCAAAGAGACCATTCAGCAGGAAATTGACACTGTAGTTGGACAGCGTTGCCCTTGTATGGAAGACAAGAAGTCCCTTCCATATACAGACGCAGTCCTCCATGAAATTCAACGTTTTCTAGATATTATCCCCTTGAGCATCCCTCACTATGCACTACATGACATTTCTTTCAGGGGTTACACAATTCCCAAGGTATTTTGATGTAATCTATTTTAGTGCTGTTTATGCAGAATGTTCCCAGATAAGAAATGTCCCATCTGATTGAACATCTTTTCTCAACAGGATACACTAATTATTCCCTTGTTGCACTCTGTGCTAAAAGATGAAAAACGGTGGGCAACTCCACGGTCTTTTAACCCCCAGCACTTTCTGGACAACAATGGGAACTTTAAGAAAAACCCTGCATTTCTGCCCTTCTCTGCAGGTAATGATGCACATTTCCTTCTATCCTCCACGCCTTTAGAAAATGTGCTCCTCATTGGATCTACCTTATTAACACATTTTTGTGGTATTATGCCCTTTCCTGGAATATTCTGAGTAAGATTTTTCTGTGAAGAGAAGAATCATAAAACAATCTTTTTTTCCATCACAGTTAGATGTATATTGTTTTTCTCATTGGCTTATTTATGCTCTTCTTCCAGGAAAGAGATCTTGCATTGGAGAGTCTCTTGCTTGCATGGAGATTTTCCTCTTCCTGGTGTCACTGCTGCAACATTTCACTTTCTCTTGCCCTGGCGGGCCTGACAGCATAGACCTCAGCCCTGAGTACAGTGGCTTTGCCAATTTGCCTCGCAGATACACAATTATTGCAACACCCCGTTAGTAATGCTGATTTAAACTATAGTCTGGGTTTTCAATCTTCTAAACTTTTAAGACTGATATCACTAGCTGTTACGATCAATTTTCATGCCCTGTGCTTCAGTGTGTTTTTCTGTCTATGTAAATTCTATCATCTTGTTTACAGCATATCCAATGTTGTTCGGTGTGGTATATTTTCTTTTCCCACCTATCTTTCCATGAAATCTCTTGTTTTTAAAGAAAGCATCCTAATCATACAATAAACCACGAGAAGAGATCCATATGAAGTAATTTCATTGATGAATGGGAAATTTTATTAATCATTATGTGAAAAGTTGCTTTGACCAGGAAAAAGAAAAGTAGGGCTGTTTATAGTGTACGGTAAACCCTGTCTGTCTACAGCACAGATCACTGAACTATATAACAAGGAGTTAAATCTGTAATTTGATAAGTTTGAGGTCAGGTGATGGATCAAGCCATGTGTCAGGATGCTGGTGTGCCGATGCGTACTCCAGTGGATGGCTGAGTAACAGTGGATGCCTGCATCTGACCTTAGGTATCGCCATTGAGACAGTGGCTGGAGTACATTAAGAACCCATCAAATTACTTAAAGTATTGGCTTTCATGGTGGGTTTTTATTAAACCTTAAGACTGTGTGAGGAAGTTAAACATCAAGTATACAGGCTAATATCCAGTACTAAATGCTCTTTTTTTGGTTTACATTAACAACATCAACAATGTTTACAGAATCTGAAGATAGATGCATTTGTTTCTCTTATATATGGTAAAATGCTCAACTATTTTAATGTATGATTAGTAATTACTGGATGTATCAGAAAACCGGTATAGTCTTGTAGCCAATTTGCAATGGCACAGTGGTGACTACAAGACATTTGTTTCAATCTTGTAGATGTATCTTTAGCTATGATACGAACAGATTGTGCATTCTTTGCCCTAATCTCAGCTCATAATATATAAACTATTGTTTTTTGTATGAAGAATATCGTTTATATCTATAAGTAATCACAGAATTAAAATCGTATTTTACTTACCACAACATTAACGTATGTTCCTTCAAATCAGCTTATTTAAATGACTGCGCAAAGCAGAACTTTACTCCATCGTTTACACATTTCAGCCACTAAACACTAGATGAATTTATTTATTATATGTTGGGCAGGTGATATTTTTGCTTCACTTGTTTCTTGACTTCTGGTGCAGGTGAGATGTTACTGTTTGGTAACTGAGGGAGGTACTGAGCCTAGAGAGTGAAAGAGAGAAGGAAACAATGTATTAGGATAATGTCTTGTCAGCCTGTGTAGAGTTGCATGCACCGGTTTAAGGACATTTGTAGCTGTAGCAGTGTGGACAATCTCTTTGGGCTTTGGATCATTTTCTTGCACGATTAAACCCCTGTGTGTCACACTGACCCCAGCCTGTCTGCGGCGGGAGCCTCTGTCATGTCGTCTTCCTAGGCGCTCCCCCTCACGGCCATAGTTGAGTCCTCCTTCCTCCTGGAAGTAAGGCAGCTCTAGCAGCTCTTCACAGGACAGGCGCAAAGAAGGATCCATCACCAGGGATGACTGTTAACACAGAGACTTAGCATGAAGCAAAGGCTTTTCAAAATATGTGGACAAAAACTGACTCGCTTATACTGGCTGGGCCTGAAGGACTGATTTGGTTAAAAATTGTCTTTGACAAATTGTCCAGTAGCATTAATCATGATGCTGTATCAGCCAGTCTGTATTACACTAAATATACCTTCATAACCTGAAGGGCATGGGGAGACACTCCATGGAAGCGCTTTTCCAAAGGTTCCTATAGCAAAAAAAAAAGTATATAACCCCATTCATTATGACTTCATTATGAACACAGATTTGGTTTTAATAGTTTTCATACCATTGTATCAGGCTCAGGGATGCTAACTCCACTGAAGAAAACATTGGAGCGGAAGACCTGCTGGTGATGGGGGATCAGGTCACCTACGGTCAGAAATTTGATTATTAACCCAGCCTGTCTGTGAAAAGTTTCTTGTTGTCTGAGGGTGTGTTTGGACCTAAACCAGTTTGGCTCAGTTCACACAAAATAGCAATTTGCATGCAATGGGTGCAATGAGCTAACAATACTGTGAAAAAATTTCAAGCAACTAAATAAGAGGAAACAGCTCCTATTTTGAGCAACTAGTTCAGTTTCTCTAGTTAAAAAAAAAAAGCTACCAGACTGTCTGACAGAAGACAGTTCTCCTGATTGTAGATGTAAATTTATGCTGATGTTACTGATGTCATTAGTGTTTTAAACAGCTCTTCAGTCTACCCAGAGTTTTCCTGATGAGGTAGAGCTGGTCAACGTCAGACTTCCCGGGCCAAAGTGGGTTCCCATTGAGGAGCTCGGCAAAGACACAGCCCAAAGCCCACACGTCAACAGGAGGCCCGTACTGAGTATCCCCGACCAGCAGCTCAGGAGCCCGGTACCAGCGGGTTGCTACATAGTCTGTATAGTCATCCTCTGGTCCCGCTAGTATACCAACACAAATACACATGGTGACAACTTATACACATAAACATTAATATACTGAATAATGCACACTAAATAACACATACATAATTGAGGGAGGGATTACAAGACATGGTGAAAGATTACATGTTAATGTATGGTAACATGACACTGAAACGTTACGCAGCAGGGGTAAAGAGAGACTGTACAGTGTCATTTCACTGTACAATGCATTCACTGGAACTCTAAAAGTGAGGTGGCCATGAGCAGGGCTGACATATAGGATCTGTGTTGAATAAGTCATTACAGACAAATTAACACTCTTCCTTGAATGACCTACTCAGAATACGGGCGAAGCCAAAGTCACAAAGCTTGATGACTCCGGTTTTAGTGAGGAGGATGTTCTCTGGCTTTACATCACGGTGAATGCACTGTGAGACAAACAGTCATTATCAGGGATTTAGGCAACATGATATACAGTCTCTTTGTGTCAGAGCCACAAGCTTATGTTAAGGCTGGCAAATTAAAAATGAATGGGGAAGAACAAGAGCAAGAGATTAGAAACCGTCACACTTTTAACTTAATACTGTATGGCTAAGAGTTTATTTTATTTTTTATTTACCAGATAGCCTGCCTATGCTTGTCTATCTCTCTCTCTCTCTATATATATATATATATGTTTGCTTATGTGTGCGTGTATAGGAGGGAGCAATAAGGCGAACTGCTCCCCCTACAGGCACCAACTAGTTTTACAGACTGACATTTCAGAAGGGAACCTATTATGACGTGTAACAAACATTGCAATAAAAGCTTTGAGAACATTAAAAATGACTATGAAATAGTATATTTGCTACAATGATGCACAAAAAGGTGCTTATATAGTCGGTAGTTAGATTTAGCTACAGAATTAAGCAGAACTGTGTATCATAAAGAGCAATATATAACATTTAAAAACAGATAAATGTTTGGGAAATAACAATCACTGAAAAAATATATTTAAAAAATGAATATGTTACGGATATCAGATAATTTAACTTATAAAATAACTATATACGTGAGATTTTGCTGAGTAAAAAACAAAAAACACAAAAAAACCCCCCAAAAACAACAAAACAGCATTTCTATATTAATCAAATCAATAAAGACTTGGTTTGATTAATATAAAAAGGAATGCGTCAACCATCCTCCACAGTAAGTCATTTGCCACTAAGTCAAATACCAGTACAGAGGAAAGGAAGTATTACAGCAATGAGTAATTTAACAAAAATAAGGCATGTGCTCACCTGCATCAGATAAATATATGCAAATCATTTAGATGAAGTGCAACATATAATAAAATATACTGACATTGTGTTTGTGGCAGAAGCTGACAGCCTGCAGAGTCTGCCATACTATACTTTTCAGCTGAGCCTCAGGTACCCTAGAGACCACAAGAGACAAAGGAAGGAAAAACAGACAAACTATTTACAAATTACAATGTCCTCATCTGTCATTCCAGTCATTTCAATAAAAGAAGTGGTGTTTTACTCGGCCCTGCGGTCACCCGGGTAATCCTAGGCCTGTCTTTAAAAGCAGCAGCGCCTTTGTTTTCAAGACCAGCTAGAGTTTCTGCTGCACAGTCTCGTGGGAAAAAGAAAAATGGTAAGACAACAGATAGCCATTGTGGTTTACGTGAGTTCACGTGACAAAAGCTAAACTGAAATCTTGGCTTGTGACCATACATTGCTCAAAGTGCAGAGAAAAGACAAGAGCTATTTTTTCCTACTTTTTGATCCTTCATGTTAAGACTGCCTATTACGCCCTCATTCTACTGCCAGCATTTTCTGTCACCAGAATTTCTTAGCTACAGTCTTGCTCCCTCTTTCTAATTCACCCTGTTCCTTTCTTCTGTCATTCTCCTGTTAGAAATACCAAATTCTTCTTTGGCAAACTATTTGCCAAATAGATGACTCCTTAAACCTAAATTCCTTAGTTATAATGTTACTTTATCAACACATCTGGAGGTTGAATGGAATGATTATTTGAATTTCCAAGTATGTTACCCTTCAGCAGCTCTACCACAACAAACATAACCACTAATCCCAAACTGGCAAAGAGTGAACAGATATTTTAAAAAGTTAATTTGTCACATGCTGTTCCTGTGCTGCTTTGACTTACCCTCGGGGATGTTTGTCAAGCTCATTTAGGACTGTCTGTTCACAGAACTCAAACACCAAGTGGAGCCGCCTTTTCCTCCTGAACACCTCAAGCAGGTTGACCAAATTCACGTGTTTGAGTTGCTAAAAGATGAGCACACATCACAGACACTTCAGTGTCAGTGCTTCACAGCCTGACAAGTTTGAAAAAGGGATTTTTTTTTTGTTAAACTCTTTCATCAATTCATGTAGCATGCACATGTGTGTGTGTGCAAGTGTACACGTGTGGTGTGACATGTGGAAAACTTGATACCAGAACTAATGTCTTCTCACCTTCAGCATACGTATTTCTCGCAATGCAATCTTCTTAATAACTGGATCATCTTCAGACTCCACAAACTTCTTGATGGCGACTATTTGGCCAGTATCTCTGTGCCTGCATTTGAACACCACACCGTAGGAACCCTCACCAATTTTGGACAGCTTTTCGTATTTCTCCATTATGGCAGCTGAAAACTGTCACCTGTCAAAAAATAAATGTTCCCCATTTTATTTAAAATCGCTATCGGTGCCA